GGTTCATGAAGTTACCTGAACAGAGCGGTGGAATTACAGCCCTGTCATGCAACAGTTAGCTTTTCAAACATCCGTGAATCTGCATTTTTTTCCCCTGCATCTTTTCTTCTCCCTGTATACTCAGTCAGCCTCTCAACCCACTCTCCTGTTTTTCCTCATACCTCCTCTCCTTTCTTCAGGTGAAATACCACTCCCACCTGATTTTGGAATGCAAATTAGTTTTTCAAAGGCCACCTGATTCTGAAAGTGGTCTGTTTTTCTAAGAGCTTTTTCACAGTGGGTGCGAATGTACTGGTGAAGTCATCTAACATCTTTACAGCCTCCCAGAAAATTATGCCAATGACATTCTGAGCAAGAGCAATATTTTAAAGAAAACTAACAAAAGACTCTGAATCCATGGGAACATTTTCACATACCGTTACCAAAGGCAGCTGTTAATGTTATTGCCGGTAGTCTACTTTTGGCTGCACAGTCTATCCAAGTCCTGCCAATGACATGCCAAGATGCCTCAGCTGACCTTCATCATCTTCAGGACCAAAGACATCTTTATAAGGACATGCGGTCACCTCTTTGCTATCTAAGTGGACTTGGGAGATGAGATAGCCTGTTTAGCAGGAGACCCAGGTGGCATAATAATTCCTGGGAAAATCCTGGAGATTGATGTTCCAAAGGCAGCCAGCTCAACTCCAGTTAAATGAGCTAGCCAGGGCACACGGCCCAAAATATGGCTCTTGCAGAACCAGCTCATGTGTGTCTGTACCACGCTACTCCCACCTGCTCAGATAGCATGTTGCTGAAATCCCAGGAGTTAATTCAGGTGCCTTTGTGCCCATGGAACAATTTACTCACAGATCAGGTTAGTGGAACAGGGCGGGGGGGAAATTGAGTTTTCAACTTAACCCAAAAATAAAACCCCAAAAAACCCACGAGAACTTACTACCTTATGGCCTTCTGAAGACATGAGTTCACTGAGCCTGAGTCTGTGTTTTACATCTCTACACTGGACTCCCCAAATCTTCAAACCAGCAGATTAAAGATTAATATTTTTAATAATAAATCTCAACAACAGTCAAGGAGTACAGTCTGATGAGCACAGGCCCATAATATCCACTTACTACTGCATTTTTATTCTAAAATACTGATTGCGAAGAGACTGAAAATAAAAATCCCATCAACATATATGGCTTATGGTTATCATTACACTGATTAGTTGTTTTCATTTGAGATTTTTGGATATGATTCCCAGTTCCAGCACATAAAATTTTCCATTGAAAGCAGATTTTGGCATTCTTTGCATGAGATACAGTGGTTAGTGTTAACATGCAACCAAAAATTTTATGCAGGCAAATAAACTTACTTCCTTTTCTTTGGGCTCACTTCCAAAACACTGGTTTTAATATATGATGTACAAATGTCCCATAACACTGCTTTATATTAAAAGCATGAGCCAGAAATGTCTTATGAGAACACTTCTTAGGTCAGTATTTTTCATTTGTTATTATTATTCATGCCTACATACCTATATGGAAATATAGAATCACCTACAACATACATAATTTCTTCAGAGTAAAATACTTCAGGATCAAAATTTAGCACGTCCTACTAAATGGCGTGAACATACTCAGAAAGATTTATTCACTTGACTCCTCTTACGAACATCAGTTGCAGAAACATTTTGACCTACTCAAACAACTGAACATGGTAAAAAAAGAACATATGATAGCACAAAGCTGCATCTGCTGAATTTTTTCAGTTAGCACATGTGGATGGACGTTCTTAAGCATCTCAGTGAAGCCAGGCATTCAGATAATGTACAAATCAAAGCCAATCTATCTCACACACTGGAATATACTACACTTTCAATTCTGGCAAATCTGTGTTTTACTACTGTTTTAGAAACAGACTTTCTTCTCCCTCTTCTCTTTGTGAACAAATACACACATCTCACTTCCTTTATAGGATCATTAATGCACTACAACCAGGAGCGTGACTTCAATTTATAGATGAAACAGTATTAGAAGCTCATCCTACCGGCAATCTACTTTGGTTACAAGCCCCATGAAGCTGCGAAGGACTCCTAATCCACCAGGAGGTGGTTGGCTTGCACTGAAGGCCCACGATGATTTAACTATGAATGGTTGGCTTCACTTAGTACATGGATACGCTCCTTGAGGAGCGCTGTAGACATACCTATGCTGTAATAGAGACACCTCTTTGCCAGTGATAATGGCACTTCAAAAAAAAAAAAAGCAATAATATAAGATCCACTCCAAAACTTAAATTGTGCGAAATGTGGGCTTCTCCATTTATCTCTGTTACATAAAAATATTCAAATCTGTGGGTACTACCTACACCTGTTGTAAGTATAACTTAAGACCAAAATAATTTTCACATATATTGAAAAACAAATGGCATTATTACTGTAAGTTTCAATTTCTGTTGGGGTTTGTTTGGTTTTTGTGGGTTTGGCAGAGTTTGGTTGGTTGGTTTTTTTACCTGAACCGCTGTAAGACGATGACGAAGGCGTTCGCCTTGAAAAGCTTTTCACGGCAAGACTCTGACCTCGCTGTTTCCGTCTCCAAGCTGTCCGGCATTTGGAGTCTATGCTTTGCTTGATTCGATACCAGTCAGATTCTGTGATTCCAAATTTATAAAATAGGTGACCTGTAATGAGAGAGAAACAAAAAGGGCTGAAAATTAGCATAAATTCCTATTTTGAGGCAAACGCTAAGATGACAGACACCGTCATGCACACAGGGTAAACAAAGCAGCTCTGAAAATTTTATAACCGTCCTCATGCTTGACACTGCCTAAAGGAATACAATGACATTACAAAAAATGCCAGAGCTCTACAGTGGTGTGATTCCAACAGCTATACACAAAATGAAGTAATCATACATATACACAGTTATGTATTTTAAAATGTCAGCAGTCTATGAAATTTCCTGATCTACACTTCTATCCATGGAAACTGCACTATTACATTCAAGATGTGCAACACTGACCAACATAAGAATCCAGCACTCCAAAGCCAAAATTGGATAAAGCTTTATTTATCACTGATAGTGCCCCACAATACGTCTGCTAAGTAGGAAGACGTAAAAAGCTCTATATAAAAAAAAAAAAAACTCTTGTAAAGCTCAGTTCACAATTCATCAGAATCCAATAAAAATGCAATACAAAATTATAATCTTCTGAAAAATGTTACTACTAGTCATTTAAAGAGCCACATTATGCACTTTCCAGCATTTGGTGCTAAGTTGCCAAACTGATATATAAACACAACATTGACTTGTCAGTTGAACTGAGTATTTTGAAACCAAGTCCCACTGCCAACTTAAACCAGGTTTATTATCGTGTGCAATCTCCACACCTGAAGCGGAAGCCTAGTTATACAAGAAGCAGAGGGAGCAAAAAGACTATTTCAGGTACGACAAGAAATACTTGTTTCAACGTCTGGACAAATGGCTTTAAAGCTGGGAAGGAAACACGTTGTGCATTGTCAGCTGTTTCCAGGTCCTCCTCATATTGCTACAGACTTCTACTGTAAGCCTTAGAGTGGTTTGTTAAAGAATCAACAGTTGAAAGCATTTGACTGTATGTGAAGATAGATTTATAATCTTCATGGCTGCAGAAAAAACACTTGAAAAAGCAAACCCGAAGGTTCAAAATCCATGAATTAAAATAGAACTATCTGAACGTGTAACATCTAAAACTTCAGTACTTCTCAACTTTTCAGATTTAGATGTGCAATATTGCATTTAAAACTCAATTCAAAGCTGTAATATATGCCTTTACTCAACATGACTATGCTTGAAGGACCTCTTAAAATTCTTATGTTCCTTTTGGTATCAGTTTCTTTCCACACCCTGCAAAAGAAAATAAGCTTTTCAACCTACTGGGTTTACAATCTTGCTCTCAGATAGGATCCTGATCCCGTGAAGTACCTGCTTAAGCTGTTGTATAGTCCTACAAAACAGGATAGGATCTGCTCCTGTAAGACAAATTATTTCAAGCCTACAGCCACAAAATTCTAGGTTTGCACAAACTAAGAGCTTCGTACTTTGTATTATAAATGAGCCAAGAGTCCTCAGAAACTGAAATTTGCAGGTTACTGATCTAACATAGTCAAGCAGAGTACTGTATCTCTTAAGTCATCATCATAATTTTTAAACACATTGTTTTCTGATGCTCTGAATTATTTTATTACAGATCTGTTCTAAAAACAATTTGAAATAAAGTAGAGAACATACAGGAGGAAAACACTGGCATCAAAAAGCCAATTCAAAAGCCCCCCCGATTTCTCACTGGCAATTGACAGTCAGCACGTTCCTTAGAGATGCCTTTACAACCTTTACATTATGTCTCCAAAAAGGGGGTGGGAGTAGGAATGGAGGAAAATCGACTGAAATTATCAACTGCTGCTGTGCAACAGTTTCCTTTCCATAGGTGTCAGCAAAAGGAAAGCACATTCTGTACTGTAAATACTGAGACCACATTTCTCAGTGTAATCTATTACTAATATGTGCTACACAGAAAAATGGGTTTATAAATGCTTGCAGTAATGTCCAATAAAAATAGTTATGCTTTAACTCTTTATACGACTTCAGCTGTCAGTACATACAAAAGTACTTGTGTAGTCCTACAGAAAACACAGTCATATGCTCTGTGGTTATTTTGAAAAAATGTCCATATTTCATTCATAAATGCATTTTAATGACTTTCACGTTCTATGCTGCTCTGTTTAGAGAAGTGACTGAAGCAACTGCAGGTCAAAGAAAACTCTCACAGAAAAGCAGTCTAGCTAGGAAATTTAACCATTACAGTATAATCCATGGGATACTGCAGGATGTCACTTAACTCAAAGAGAAATCAAAAGCAATATAAATTATTTGGGACAAGATGGTCTCAGGTGCAGTGAGCTGTTCAAACTAGGAGACCCAAGACCTATAGGTCAAGAGCTTGAGAAAGATTATGGGTGCCAAAGCTGCGATACAAAATGTCCCAGAAATTGCCTTATTGAGGGAAGACAGGAAAAGACCTACTTACTGATCACAGAAGATATCATTTAATCAAGGCGATAAGGCATGGCCATGAAATACTGGACAGAGAGACCACAACCTTCATGGAGAGAACGTGACTACAGAGGAAAGTATGGCACACAGATAACAAGCTAAACAGCGTAGGGTCAAAGAAGATTTTAGGCTACAGACCTAAAACATCAGGCACAGATTTTCAAAGCCAGGCGTGCTTATTTTTTTTCCCTTACTCATGAAATTCCTACTTAACTGTTACAGCAGGCAAAGGCGTAAAACTGCTATAGACGAAACGCCCACTGTTTGCACAGATTTTTACCATAACTGCACACTCAGTCACAGTAACTGCCTGTGCAAATTAGACATGAAAAATTAGCCCTTAAGTACAAAGATAGTTGATATCAAGGTTAAATGAATTTCAGATGTATAAATCTATCCAGTTGTTATTACAATCTAAAATGTTATTCTACGAACAGGTCTTTAGCAACCACATTTCATAACAGTCCACCAATGACTGAAGAAAAATCTAATGCTAACGACAGTGGAGGATTTCTTAAGTAGATAAAAAGTTCACCATAACATTAGAAATAGGATTTACCTGTAGTAGAGAGATACATCCCAAAAACATGTGTAAACAATATTAGAAAACTGAAGCGTGCTGACTTTCTGTTCTCTGTCCATAAATGATCACGTGCAGGAGTGCTTTCAGCTGTCTCATTCTGAGTATGTCAAATACCAAAAGAAGTTAGAAAGGCAGCACTAAAGCAAGATACTGCAAATGAGACATTTAACTTGGGGAAGTCCATATTAGAAAAGACAGAAATACTTCAGTGAGAAGGGATTTGACTTCTTCGGAACATTTGCTAGTCAAAAGCAGCATGAAACATTGTAATTTGTAGGCAGCACAGTATCTATGAGCCACATAACAACCCTGCTAAAAACACATTAAAAATACATTCAGCAATATAATTCAGCACTTTGGCAAAAAGACGAAACTATTTTGGAAGACAGACACACTTATACAAGAAGAATGAAGTAAAGGATTCTGATCATCTAAGGCTGGCTGACTGTTTTTAGCTATCTTTTTATTTAGGAGAATCGATGGCTGCCGGTAACATTCAAAACAAAGGATGTGCTTGTTTTTAAACATTAAGGGCCCAAAGTTTGCTTTCTTTGGGAACCTCACTTCCTAAACAAAGCTTTCTATGAAAACACACCAGAGACTTAACACAGTTATTTAATAAATTGCAAGAGTTTGAGCCATCTCTATAGACCATATAGACCATATATTTCTATAGACATATTAGCAGCAGCTTGGGAGACAAGAAGGTCTGCACAACAAATTCGGAGAGATACGGGCTATTCTGAAATGCGCAAAGAGGAAATCACTTGGGTTTGCAAGCAAGATCCAAAACTGAAATCTTACCAAGCAAAAGCATAGGAGGAAAGCATGTGTGCATCAGGAAAATTAAAGAAGTCAGCTTTAAAAGCCAACAGGTGCATCTTACTAAGGTTTGCCATCCAGATCCTAGATTAGAAACACAGCACATTTTTGCCGAAGTTCCAATAAAACTAAAAAGACGACTGACACAACAAGTTCTAGAATGCTTCGTATGCACCGCAAAAGAAATTTGTGGTTCAAAGGGAAAAAAAAAAGCTTGGAAATGCAGTGATGATGATCGGGTACAAACACAAAGATCGTCAGCAATGATGTCTTAAATGACCACATATTCCCAAACTTTTGGGGCATGTAATGTACAAAATAGGGGGAGAAAGGGTTGGTTTTTTTTAAAATCAGGGATAATTAGAAAGAAAGAAAAACCCATAAGACAATGTTCCTGAGAAAGTAATCCTCTCTTTCTTAAAGGTCAGAAGTCAGTCAGCAGACGAAACAATCCACATAAAACATTAAACTGTAAAGAAATTTAATTAAGAACAAATTGAGGAGGAAGAGAAGACATTTACAATATCAAAACCAGACATGAAATATTCCATCTTGATGCCGCATTCTAAATCAGCCTCCGAAAAAACAAATTTCATGTCAATAGCTTGCATTTGGACATTGCTAAGTTGTGCTGCTTCCTGTTCTCCATGAATACCAGATTTCTTTAGAAAATTGAAAGGTAAATCATTATTTTCATGGACTTGGCAGAGTTCCTTTTGCTGCTGCTTATACTGAGATGGCACAGACTTTCCCTCTGTTGTTGTTACATTTTGAAAGATTAGGGAAAGTGTTACCCCCAGAGAATCTAACAGCCACATGGTATAAAATAAAGATATAGTTGCATTACGTCTGTAATCCAAACAGATTTGGTTAACTGTTCCTTCCATTTCCAAATTCAACATCATTTTTAAACTCTAGAGAAAAAGCAACCGGATGTAATATTCAAAACTGAAATGATTAAACTTACGAATAGAATCTTTTTTTTAATTGACAAGAATATGATGAATATTATGAAAAACAAGGGCTTCAGATTCTGCCTGCACAGAGTCATGAAGAGGGGCGATTATTTGGGGGTTTGGCTAACAAAATGCATTTTTTCACAGAAGGGTCATACATTTGGAGTTTTTATTAAACGAATAGCGTATGACAACAAAATCTGCTGTACTAAATATTGGAACAGGGAA